TCTATTTTGGTACAATTTACAACTTTGGAAATAAAAACACATTCCTACAGCAGTTTGCTTGCTGAAGCCCTAGGAAGTCTGGAGGCTGGGCTCCTGGTCACAGGCTGGAAAGTGGCCAATAATATGAACATGCTGGAAAGTCGATTGCATATAGTAGTGACCACCAACAGTCAGCTGTGAGTAAAGAAACACACCTCTCCTCCCCACGTGTTGTGTAAAGACTAAATAGATAATACTTTTAAAAATATTTGGCACTGTGCAAAGATGAACTGGATGGCACATTTAAAACGCTTAGCATTATGTAAACATTAAGTGATTGTTATATTAAAATATTGAGCACAGTGTCTGGTGCACTCTATCTTAATAGAAGCCGTAGGGAGTGGAGAGTAATGACTGTAGTAATGGTTCCATTCACATCTAGACCATGAATGAGCTCTCCAGACCCTCATCTCCAAATCCAGGAAGAACCAGTAAAGACACTGGTGAAACAGATTAAAAGTAGAATCATACTGTGCTCAAGCTCGTGACCCATAATCAAACGATGGTGCAAAGCAGCCAGGATTGCGCAGAGCCCAAAAGAGAAGTTAGATCTCAACCTGAGAATAGGGTAAAAACTCATCCAACTGTCCAGTCACAGCCTCCTACAAAGTTCCTCAGAGCAAGAATAGACAGGAAAAAAGGTTGAAAAGATAACTAGAGTTTCCAGATATTAAACGCAAACATTACAGAAATTAACATTTCAGTTAGGAGACACCAAGACAGGCATGGACAGGTAGATGAATGAAAAGGACAGGACAGAAACAAACTCAGGAAACTCAAATGTACCATGAAGTCCATCGGAGGAGGAGGGAAACATAGATTACGAACAAGTGGTCTTGAAAACGTGGAGAGTCATTTTTGGAAAGTAAATAAGTAAATTTAGCTCTCTGACCCATACCTTACTAGAAATTAATTACAGATGAAAATTAATTTGAAATATGTAAAGTAATTCTACAAAAAATGCTAAAATTAGGAGACTCTTAGAAAGCATGAAGGCTTTCTTAAACTAGTGTATCAATGCAAAATGAATCAAACACCTTAATATAAGACTTTAAGCTCCAAAACTGCTAGGAAACAGGGGAAACACTCCAAGATGCAGGCACAGGCAAGGACTCTCTGAAAACTATTCCAGTAGCTCCAGAAAGAACAGCAAGAACTGACAGATGTGATCGTGTGGAATTAAAACACTTCTGCAAGGCAAGGGAAAAATCACAGTAAGAGGCTGTTGAAGGAGAAAGTCGGTCATCTGACAGGGGCCGCTATCCAGAATCCATAAAGAGTTCAAAAGTTAACCGCTGAGAGAACAAATCATTCCATCAGTAAATGGGCAAACAAAATGAATAAACAGTTCTGAAAAGCGGAAGTACAAATGGCCAATAAATACATGAAAAAATGCACAATATCTTTAGACGTTGTGGAAATGCAAATCAAAACTGCACTGAGAATCTACCCCATCCTCACCAGAATGGCTATCACCAAGAAAAAAAGAGACAAAAACATTGCTGGCGAGGGTGTAATGAGAAAGGAACCCTTATATACAACTGGAGGGACTGTAGGCTGCTGTAGCCACCATAGAAATAAGAATGGAGATGTCTAAAAAAGTTAAAAAAAAATAATAAAAGAACAATACCATACAGTCCAGCTATAGCACTGGTGGGTATATACCCAAAGGATGATAAGTGAACATAACATACAATAGAGACCTCTGCAAATAGCTATTTATCACAGCACTATTTACAATTTATTTATGATCAGCTCAGCCTAGATGTCCATCAACAGATGAATGGATAATGGAGATGTGATATATTCATGCCATCCATAAAAAAGAATGAAATTATGTCATTGGCAGAAGGGTGAAGGGAACTGGAGATCATGGGTTAAGCAACAGCAGCCAGATGCCAAAAGGCATGTTCCCTTTCATATGCAGAATCTAGATTTCTAAAAAACACATGGAAGTAAAAGACGGGAGCATTCAGGAAGAGGAAGGAAACCAGTGAGGGAGGGGCCCAAGAGAGGAGCATGGGGGTGAAGATAGGAACAAAGCCCATTATACTCAAGTATAAAAATATCATAATGAAACCCATTATTTTACACAATCCATATGCACTAATAAAAACAATGTACATCAAACCAGAATTCATGGAGAATGATGACATGTTTGACCTTTGCAAAGTTGAAAAACAAAAGCATGAGGAGCTAGGACAGGGGCACACAGTTAATACCAGCATTAGAGACGATGAGGCAGGTCGGTCATGAGTTCAAGATCAGCCTGGACTACATGGAAAGAGCCTGTCTCAAAAACATAAGCAAGCCAAGCAAAAATGAAAATCCAGAAATCCAAAATTAAAACTGCAGGGGAGGGTGTATTTGCAGATTATATCACAAATGGTCAATTTTCAGGGGATCTGACACCCTCTTCTAACCTCTACACACATTGTACACACTTGGTGCACTTATAAACATACACACAAAACACCCACACATTTAAAAGTAACAACTTTTTAAAGACTGAGAATATCTTGAAAAATGTGTTTAAGTAATTAAATCTAAGATGCATATTAAGTAACAGAAATACTAATGGCATATGAGCCATTGTCGCTTTAGAGAAGCAAAACATTTAATGCTTTAAACCCAAAGACTGTGAAAATATGAAGAAGGAACAGGTGCCTGCAAGAATCTCTCAGAAGCAAAACTTGATAGGAGACACTTGACTTCGTGTTCCTTTAGGGAGAGGAGACGCTTGATTTCATGTTTCTTTATGTCTTGGGATATTGTGTGAGCATACATCGCCTATTGGCAAAGTTCAGCAAAATAATATAAAAATCGAGACGAAGAAGCAGAAAAGAAAATGTTCTGCCCATCCTGTCTCAAATCTGAGGCAAATTCCTCCAAGTCATCAAAAGCGGTGATGTGCACATTATGAAGGTCCTTGCCGTTGGTGTGCCGTTCCCTCCTCTCCTTACCAGGACTCTGGTACCAAGCCACTTCCTGTTCATTCTGTGGGTCTCAAATTAGATGAGATTTCTTTGGGGACTTTTCTGAGTGCTCAACAAATGAAATTAGGAACCCTTAGCACACACTCTATTCACCCACCACATTCTTTTCTGTGACAACCTCATATCCAGGAGAAGCCCTGGTCCCTAACAGATTCAGTAGGATGCTCAAGATAAAATCATCTCTAGACTATTTATGATACACAGTGAGGTTACATGCTATGGAAATAGTTATTATACTAACAAAGGGAAAAGACTTCACATGTTTGGCACTGATGCAATTTATAAACCATTTTCAATGCACACAGCTTGCTGAACCACACATATTCGTTCCTCAGATACAGAGAACCAGGCATGTGGATACAGAGGACCACACATGTGGATACAGAGGATCATGCATGCTTCACCAGCTGCTGTTTCCTCCATGTTCTGAATTCATGGTGACAAAAGTCTTCATGATGTTTGAGCTCCATATATAATGGCAAACATTTCTTCCTGGCAGACTTTGAAGCTACCATCTCACAACACTGCAAGCTCCTGTCCCCACCACATCTCATACTCCCATTCCCACTAGCCCCACGTGCCTCTTACAGTTTAACTGGCAGCCTTTATCCCCCATCACCCTTATGGTGGACCACGTGTGTCTCGGTGCCTGTGCCTGATGTCTTATAACTCAAAACCAGGTGTGGCAATTACACCTGTAATCCCAGCCATGGGGAAGCGCAGGCAGGAGGATCAGGAATCCAAAGTTATCATCAGCTATACAACTAGCTCCAGGGCAGCCTGGATCACATGAAACCCTGCCTCAGACAAACTTTAAAAAGCAGCTCTACTCTCACCAGTGAAGCTCCCATGTACATCAGAGTGCAATGCACACAGAAGGCCACAACCAGCCAAGTTTTGGAGAATAAGAGACTGTAGAGTGTAGGATGGGACTCTATGTGGAACCTCACCCACCCACAGCTCAGGGACCATTGCAGAAGAGGAGGCAGAAAGATTCTAAGAGCCAGGGCTGGTTCATGAACACAGGGAAGTGGAGGCTCCCAGGCCACTGGAGGCTTGCTCATGTGAGCCTGTGGCAGCAGTGGTGTCAAGCACAGGAGCCATGTCAGCTCAGTTAAACAAGAGCCCAAAGGGGAGGGTGAGAAATAGTTGGCAAGTCAGCACTAGACTGGGAACTATTTGAGACTGATCGCTGCTGGGTGAGGGAGACTATGACTTACATGTGACCACTGGATGGGCTGACTAGACTCCAGTGGATGCATGTACATTTGGGTACAAACACCTGAATGAATAGGACTCAGCAAGTATGGCAGAGTGCATAGGGTTTGATGAGGGGACAAAGGGAGGCATGGATGGGGGAGGGAGGTCTGGATGTGAATGGGAAATGTATGAAATTTTAAAAGCTCAATTGAAAAAAAGCAGCTCTAAACATCAAAGCTCCTCACCTCTTCACAGGCTCATGAACAGCAGTTACCCGTCATTACTGTCCTCTGCTCCTCTACTCCTCAGTTTCAAAGCAGTCTAGTGCAACCAGAGGAAGCCCAGGGCCCATTTGCCAGACCTCCTAACAGCAGACCTGTCTTTTACTTTTGCTAGCTGGCAGCCCACATGGCCCCTCTGGACCAGGTCCTCATCTGAGAAGCAGCACCCTGGTGCCACAAGACTGTGAAGAAAATAAGTGTGGAAATATTAGACAGCTTTCAGGAAGTAATGCTTATTGCGAATGTTTACCCTTAAAGCCCTTTGTTGCTGAGGAGGAAGGCTGGTGGCCTCCATTCTGAGGGCTACACAGTGCCTTTTCTCCTTCAGTCTCTCACTGTCTAAAGGTGGAAGCATCCTAACTAAGCATAGGGGTGGAGAGGGGCAGAGGCTCTCTCCTGTACATGGTACATGTTCCTGCAGGTGATCTTTTTGGTCTTTTTGAGAGAGTCCCTATCGCCTGTAGCATAGTTGGCCTGGAACTCACATGTAGACCAGGCTTGCCTCAATCTCACAAAGATTTGCCTGTCTCTGCCTCCCAAGTGCTGGGATTAAAGGCAACTGGCAAGCCAAGATTCTTGATGCAGTGAGACAGGAGATACAGGAGGCACCAGAGTGGAGAAACTGTTTTCAGAGATGCTTCTCAAGGGAGCAAAGACCATCACTTCACTCCTCCTGATAGTCTGGAGAAAGAACAAGAAGGAAATTAGGTTTATTACGTTGCAGGGATAAGAGCCCTGCAGCTACCAGAGCGGCCGGTTCTGCTGACTGCTGGACCATTAGCAAGCTGTGTGATCTTTCCTAAGTCACCTGCCCTCTCAGGGCCTCAATAATACTAAGAAGGCTAATGACAAGGCAAGACACAAAAGCACTCTGACAGCTCGCCACCTGTTAGAGCTCAGCAGAGTGCTCTAAACTAGCATTTGACTGAATAGCGCTCTGGAGCACTCTTCTTAGGAGGCCTCTGCGACAAGCACCTGTGCTCACCTGTGTTCCTAAGTTGAGGGAGTCATTTCTCTGCTGAAGGTCTTCCCAAAGCCTTCAATAAGTTAATATGTGCTGGGAGTCTCCAGATCCACAACAGAGGCATTGCGACATTCCAGTGTCTTCCAAAGGTCACACTAGGAACCACATTCTCAGCCCAGTGCCATTTAGAAGGTAAGGTCCACAACTCATAGGCTCTCTGGTACAGAGAGGCTCATCACAGATGACCCTTACAGCCTTTTCGGTCTTCACAGTGGTTTTTCTCAGTGCTGCTTTACCTCTTCCTGTCCTCCTCTGGTCTATTCTCCAACCCCCAATTCCAACCCCGACCCCAACCTGTTCTATTTGACGTCCACAAACTGGATCTTCACCCCTCCTGCTTCCTGTTGGGTTTCATCAGCGGAAAGCCTGATGGGAGGCGTGGCAGAAGGAGGTGGGGGTATCTCTTCTCTTCCCTGTAAGGATGCCAAGCTCTAGAAGGAATGTAGCCTTCTGTGTTGTTTCTTAATCTGGAATCCATAGGTTCCTCCACCAGGACAGACAGATTCAGAGGATCTGTGATTTTGGAAAGGGGAAAAAGAGCATATATACTTTTTATTAACTTTTCATTAAAACTTAGCACTTCCTTCTATGATGTATATAGGCCACAAGTGTCAGTGATGTTATCTGTGATCCATCAAAAATACATATATTTTCATAGTTCAACAAAAGTTTATTGCAGCTATCTCAAACACTGCTAGCGCTCATCACTGTCTTCAGATTGCGGGAACATCAGTCTTGCTGTACAAAATGCTAATAAGGAAATTCATGAACTTCTACATCCCAAATTTGGTTGTGAGGTTATCTTAATAACCTTAGCCTTATACAATTGATTTCCTTTGTAATTATATTAATTTAATTCAAGGAGAGGATCTGCATTTTACCAGGCCACCTAAAGGGTATGTGGCACAAGAAACATTCAGACCTCTGAGCTGGGGACATTGTTCTGTGAGTAAAGTCCTTGCTGTACAAGCTGAGGGCCAGCATTCAGATCCCCAGCACTCACATCAAAACCAGGTGAGGTGGCACAGTCTGTAACCCCAGAACTGGGGTGGCAGAGACAGAAAGATCCTGAAGCTCAGATTCAGTGAGAGGTTCTGTCTCAATAAATAAAGTAGATAGGCTGGAGAGATGGCTCAACAGCTAAGAGCACTGGCTGTTCTTACAGAGGACCTGGGTTCGAATCCCAGCACCCACATGGTATCTAACAACCATCCATAACTCCAGTTCCAAGGAAGTCAATACCATCTTCTGTCCTCCTTGGGCATTGTATGACATGGGTGTACTTACCTACATACAGGCATAACACTCATACACATAAAATAAAAAATAAATAAATTTTTAATTTTTTTTTAAATTAAGTGGAGAGCAATCAAGGAAAGACACTGATATTGACTTCCGGCCTCCAGATGCAGGAGTACACACTCATGCAAATACATAGTTTTTAGTTCTTTTCAACTTGACACAAGCCTAGACATACCTGGGAAAAAGGAGTCTAAACTGAGGAACTTCCTCAACCAGACTGGCCTGTGCACATGTCCGCAGGGCATTTTCTTAATTGTTAACTCATGTAGGAGGGCCCAGTCCACTGTGGGTGGTGTCATTCCAAAGCAGGTAGGCCTGGGCTGTGTAAGAAAAGTGGTCGAGCAAACCAGGGGAAGCAAGACAGTAAGCACTGTTCTTCTTTGGCTCTGTTTCAGATCCTGCCTCCATGTTTCTGCCTTGAGCTCCTGCCTTCATTCCCCCAATGATGGACTGTGCAAGTGTAAGCAAATAAGCCCTTTCCCAAGTTGCTTCTGGCCATAGTATGAATCACAGCAAACTAGAGTGGAAGTGCTGATAACATACCACAACCTGGGTGACTAAGAACATTATGTGTAGTGAAAGAAGCCATTAAAAGGAGCTCCATGTTGTGTGATTTCACTTACAATAAATCTTTATTATTCATGGATTCCAAATTTTCAAATTCACCTACTCACTAAACTCATTAGTGACCCCAGAAGCAATACTCTCAGTACATACATGCACAGAGCAACCACGAGTTTAAGTAGCTGCCTGAACATGCTCCCAGCTGCAGTCAATCAAAGCAACACTTTGCCTCTGTTTCAGTTCATGTTTGGGGAGGGTCATGGAACCTTTAGAAGATGTGGCCATACTAGAGGAAGCATGTCACTGGGGGCAGGTGAAAGTGTATGGATTGTCCACTTCCAGTCTGTCACTCTCCACTTCCTATGCCTGTCCGAAGATGTGAGCACTCAGCTTTCTGCTCCTGCTGCTGCTGTGTGCCTCCCCACCTTGGTGGGCTCTTATCTCTCTGGAACCATAAGCCAAATAGTCTTACTTCTATAAGTGGCCTTGGCCATGGTGTTTTATCATAGCAACAGAAAAGCAACAAATATATGTACATATGGGGGTAGTATATGTGCATGTGAGTGCAGTGCCTGCAGAGTCCAGAAGAGGGCATCATATTTCCTGGAGTTAGAGTTCCAGGCAGTTGTGAGCCACCTGACGTGGATGCTAGGGACTGAACTCTGGTCTTCTGTAAGAGCAGCAAGCACTCTTAACTGCTGAGCTGGGTCCAGCCCCTATTTTACACCTATTTGAGTGCTTGTTTGCTTGCTTGGTTTATGAGACAGGGTATCCCTGTAGTCCCAGCTGGCCTATGTAAACCAGAGACCTGCCCGTGTCCACCCCATGAGTGCTGAGATTAAAGGCATGTACTACCTTGCCTGGCCCATTTTACACTCTTTGTCAATGATTTCACTGCTTTAAATGACCCAGGCATAGTGTTAAAATGCTATCTCACACAAGTACAAGAAGCTATGATGTGCCCTGCAGAGAAAATACATATCAGGTGAGCTGTACTCCTGCCTGAGATGCAGTGCTATTGGTCAGAAGTTCAATGTCAATGAATCCATGGTGAGTATTTTTTTTTAAGTGCTTTAACACAGGACCATGAAATAAAGTAAGGTCATATACTCATGAGTTGACAGAAACCTGTGCACAAAGCTACAAAATAATGGAATTCTGTTCTGTAACTGCAATGACCCAGCACTGTCTGATTCAGCGTTCACGGAGACTTTATAAAACGAGACTGCTACAAATGGTAAAATCATCTGTGTATGAAATGTGTAAAACAGGGAAATTGGGAGAGAAAGGGGGCAGTTAGTGATTGACAGGAGATGAGGGGAAAGAGAATAGGAAGGAAATGAAAGGTGACTGCCAACAGGTACTGATTTCTCTCTGGTGATGACAGCATTTCAGAACTTGTACAACTCTGTGGATATATTAAAGTTCCTCTATTGTTCACGAATTGCATGATATGTGAATTATATACAAATAAAGCTAGAGGGACTGGAGAGACGGTACAATGGTTAAAAGCACTGACTGCTGTTGCAGAAGACTGGGGTTCACTTCCCAGCACCCACATGGTGGCTAACAACTGTCCACAACTCCAGTTCCAGGGGAATCTAATGCTCTCTTCTGACCTCTGAGGATATTGCATGACACAGGTGCACTTATACACATGCAGGCAATACACTCTTCACACATAAAAAATAAAAATAATAGATAAAATATTTTAAAAAATAAAGCTGGAGAAAGAAACCAAGGAAGCAAGAGTTCAAAAAAGTCATCTCCTGGCCCCTCACAGATAGAAGAAGTGGGCTTCATGAGTCCCCTTTAATCTGTCAAGTTGGCAATGCAGATTAGCCATCACACATGTGTATGTGTGCATACACACACGTATTTAATAAGTGGAGACTAATGTTATCCTTTCATAAATCAGAAACTGAGCCACAAAGATATTGTAACCAACCCTAATTCACCCAACTAACTAGTAACAGAGATAAGTTTGAACCCTGGCAGTCTGGTGACAGAATTTATGCTTGAAAACACCAGTACACAAAGTAGCCCAACTTACTTTTGAACACTGATCTGTGTGCTATAATAAGTTCAAGTCTGATTTTGTTTATTTATTTATTTATTTTTGTCTTTTTGAGACAGGGTATCCCTGTAGCCCCAACTGACCTGGAACTCATTATGCAGACCAGGCTGGCCTTAAACTCACAGAGATATGCCTGCCTCTGCCTCTTGAGTGCTGGGATTAAAGGCGTGCACCACCACGCCCCACTATTAAGCCTGATTTTAAACCTCCACACTGAGTCCTTTATAGGAAAGTTGTGCTATGTGTTAGACAAGCTAAACAGTGAGCTTAGTCTTATGAGTTACATTCCTGCAAGCTTGTCTCTGGGATCAGTACCAAGCAGTTACAGAGCAACCCCAGCAGGAGACCACACTGAGTAGCTTGGCTAACCCACTCAGCTATGCTGCCTCATCACCTACCTCCCACATAAGACCCATTCCCATTTCTGCTGTAGGACTGGAACTGTTCACCAGAGGTGTTAGGAGAAGGCAGCACAGGTCAAGCACTATCAAAGAGTACCCCCAGTTACAGAGAAAACCTTAAAGAAATTAAAGGATTTCTAAGTCCCGGCCCACCCATTCCAAGCAACATTTGATATCTGTAAGGTACAGAAGCCTCCATGGGAACAAATCCTTTCCAGACATAGGTACAAAAAAAGCACCTTCCAGAGTGACAGCTGGAGTCCTCTGAAATTTAGCTTAGCTTTGAACCCACTCTAGGATGCAAAAGAAGCCAAATTGTGGTTACCCTCTCAAAGGGATAAGACTTCAAGATTTATCTTTTCTTTCATATGGATAACCTGAAGCTCTACGCAAAGGACAGTGCTCAGTCACACACCGAGCTTGAAACAGAATCCTGTTTTAATCAGTCAATTAGAATGGAATTCGGGCTGCAGAAATGTGATTTCATGTGCAAAATGTGGGAAGGTAAAGAGCCACAGACACACAGAGTGCTTGAAGCAACAGAAATTTGGGAACTGGAGTCAGGAACTTAGAGAGTCAGGAACACTGGAATAAGTGATACTGAAATCTTACAGGAAGTGGGCACACTCTAAAGCCGAATATGCTGAAAGACAGCATAATCGAATGGCCAAACGTGGGGTCCAGATCAGTCCCTGGCTCTGCTGTGTATGGACCTGTGAGTGAATACAGTGTTCCCTCTTTGTGGTTCTGTCTCTTTATCTGCAATATATGATATCTGCCTAACAAAGATCATACAAGAATTAACCAACTTCTAGGCAGAGTTCTTGGCACAGGGGAAGCATTGCACAAGCACTAACCTTGATTTTTTTTTTAATTGCGGTGTGTGTGTATGTGTGTGTGCGTGCATACACGTGTGGAGGCCAGAAGTCAATGTTGCATGTCTTAGTCATCCTTTGTCTTGTTTTTTGAGATAGGATCTATCACTGGGACTTGGGGTTCACTGATTCCATTAGACTTGCTGACCAGTAAGTCCCAGTGATCTACCTGTCTCTGCCTACCCCAGCACTGAGATTATAAGCATGCACTACCACACCAGGCTTTTTACATGGGTGCTAGGGATTCCCACAGGTCTCTCTTTACCCACTGAACCTTCTCCTTAACCCCACCCT